GAATCAGCATGAAGCTAAAAAGGCAATTTATTAAAAAATAAACATTTAGTTATTCCTTGCTGCATTTAATATGAGTTCTGCTGGCCATTTAATGTGAGTTCTGTTTGCCTTATATTTGCCAGCAAGACTTAATTCTTTATTTCATAATTGTGTTCTTTACTTATTTATGGAAACAGACCCAATGAAGTGATTCATGAGTGCTTCTGATGGTTTTGGTGAAATCAAAATTAAAGAGTATGGAAAATTTAGCTTAAATCAGAATGACACCCTTAGTAACAATCTCTCTCTTTTGGGAATGCTTCCATCTTTGGATCACTAGCGTTGTTGGTTGTCAGAGTAGCCTCTTAGCTGTTCATTTAAGGTACCAATTAGTAGTTGAAGACTCTCAGGAGAGACTTGGTCTTACTTGCAGTGCCCTGAGAGCCAAAGTACAGATTAGGAGCTAAAGATCAGGCACTTGGATTTGAAAGTCTGGTCTTTGTATGGGAGCCAACAATGATTTCTGAAATTCTGCAGCATGAAATAGGTGCATAAGATTAAAATTATGGTGCTCATTGGACTGCAGGGGTAGATAATGGTTGTTTCTTCCATGTTCACAGGATGGCACCAAGGGAGGAGGGAGTGGTGCCCTTCCTTGGTTCCATCTTACTCTTTTCTTTAAGTTCAAGCCTGTAGCTCCGTTAGAAGGAAGAGAAAGAGAGTGGGTGTTGTAATAACAGGTAGGCTTTGAGACAGGCAGTTCTGGAAGTTGCTTAAAACCATTGAGATAATTTTGTCAAGACACTGTCTGGTTCACCAGTAAATGCTTTGGAAGAAAAAATCAGATCACTTCTAACTTCCCTCATTTGCTGCGTGAGTTACTCTGCAGATTGCTATCTACACCATCACACCTGTGTTCTCTTGTTCTATTTCCTGTGCATAGAGCAAAGTGCATCAGAGAAATTGTAGGTGAACAAAATCATGTTTAGAGACATCAGCTTTTTCTTGTCGTGTTTTGAGTGCAGAATTCATGCTGAAGCAAAAGAATTAAGTGTAGAGTCTTGAGAGCAGGCAGAACAAAGCCAACCAGGCAAAGCGCAAAAGAGATGCTCTGGTGTCCCTGGAATATGAAAAGTGAGGTACTGAGCACAGTGGCATCACGCCCTCTTCTCCTGGCCTGGGTAGCTTAATACTATTTGATATAATACAGCTTATGAGAAAGATTCTTTTTAGGCATCTGATTGAGGTGACAGCAGTTCTCAAAAATACCACTTCACCAGCAGAGGAAAAGGGGAATTACCACTGAATGATGAGAATGGCTGGGTGACTGCAGAGAGGGTGAGCAGAGCACATGGCGGGGCAGGGAGAGAAAGAAAAGCAGATCAACTTCATCCTTTTTTCATACCTGAGGATGTTTTTACATTCTTTTTGTTCAGTGTCAGTTTGTGGATGTGGGTACATGGACGGCCCTGGTGAGTCATCACACTCCTGAAAGTTGCAAGGCAGAGGAGTCTTTAGCATTTGGGGACTGATGCTTTCTGACAGTTTTGTTGATGCCTCTGGAAATATTGATGCAGTTGACCTTTGTGCAGTCATGTAGCTGTAGATTAAGAAACGTGCAGTGGAATATCTTCAACATAAACTGGAAATACGAAGCAAAGACTTATACTAAAAGAATGACAAGCTAAAAATAAGTGAAACAAAGTTGTTGGTAGTTCTTTTTTTTTTCTCCAGATATGCCAGAAATTTGGTTGTTAGCAAACATAAGGTGAATATTTCCATTAAGAATAATAATAAAGATTTCTAAATTATCCAGGAGTAGGGTAGAACATGTGACTTAAACAATTTTTAGGCCATGTAAATTCATTGTCAAGTACATTTTGCAAGATTTTATAGACAATTCTGAAGCAATTCTGTAACTCCTTTTTTGGGATCACAAAACATGTAGAGGCAGAAGTACAAATAAGAAATTAGTTCACATGATTTCTGTAGACTGAAATTTTATTGGTATGGAAGCAGCACAGTTATAGAAAAGACTGAAGAAAAATACTTTTTCTATATATAATGCAATGCATAACTTTCATTTGTTTATTATTTTTTCTTTTCTTTTCAACTTCCCAAACAATTTTTATACTTGGCATGTATTGAACAACACTTTTAAAAATAAAGCAGTAAAGAAATAATGGAAAATTCTGATCTTGTTATTTAAAGCAAATTAATCTTTTAATTGCTTGATTGATAGATTAGAGATACATTTTTACTTCCTTTAAGGCTTTTGTAAGCCACGTTATATCTTTCAGCTGTGTAGGTTTCCAGTTCGCTAATACATTGTGCAGGTTGAGCATCCTTGTTCTTTGCCACTGTATGGTTGAAACCCAGAAACAGTAGCTTTGAATATTCTGATACATCAGGAAGCGCCACATCATTTGATTGTTTGATTGCTGCAGTATGAAACAGCTTAGTCTTTTTTGTGTACATTTGCTTGGATGTTTGCAATTCATGGCACTTTCAACTTTGCTAGCTGTGTAATCTGCCCAGCTCTTCCCGTAGTGCTCCGGCACAAATACTGACAGTATGATCAGTGTGGAGACGTGATTGTGACAGCACAAAAGCTACAGTGTGTGCATAAAAGGAGCCAAATAAATTATGCACAATTAACGCAGCCATGTTTCAGGGAGATCACCAAACCATGGCTAAAAGCACGCTTTTGTGTAATTACCTTGTTATTTTCTCTTTGATTTGTGTTAAACTGGTTTTTGTTGTTATTAAAGAAAAAACAGTTGCAGTAGACTATTAGCTGTAAAGAATTCACCTTTAATAATATAATTGATAACTTATTAGTGTAAGTCACTATTAAATTGTGAAGCAATGGAAAGTTCAAAACGTTGTGATGGAAGACTGCTTGGCTTTGAATATGTTAAATCCAGCCTAATAGGAATAGGTTTTGATGATACAGCAATAAATCCAAGGTTCATTTAAAGGTTAAGTGAACAATTACCACAGAAATTTCTTTCTTGATGCCCAAGAGGAGCACAAAGTTACCAGAACTAGGGTTTGGAGCCAGCACTTCTGGCAAGGGATTCAAGCATCTCTTTCATGGGACTGCTGAATGTGGCAAAACAGACTCTTAATAGGTAAGCTTTCTCTAGCAGGGCTGGGAGAGAAGTGAGTCAGGTTCTGCAGAGCTTCCACATTTGCAATGAATTATGTATGCTGTGGTTTCACCCCAGCCAGCAGCCAAGACTCCTTAATTCCCATTCTAGCCACTGTAAAGAAAGTTAACTCTACACCAGTCAAAACCAGCACATTGTGTGATATGTAGTCTTTAATCTTTCAGTTTGCAGGGTAACCTGAATATCCATTTACCCTAACTGAATATATGTGTATAATTAAGTTGGCATCAAGGCAGAAATTAGATTTTGCAATTCCAAGTATCTGGCATTACCACTCATCCCAGTTGGGTTGTGCTCTGGCGAGGAGAAAACAAAACATCTTTGCTTTTTTTCCCTACTGGTCACTTTGCATTATCTTCTGCTAGACAAGCTTTAGACATTGCCTGGATTTCCTCCGCATGTCAGATGCACACAATACATTACCTTTTCCTCCCACCACAGTATGGAATCCAGCTGGTGTTTCTGAAAGGGGACAGTCCTTGTGCCAGCCCAAGGGGCCATAGACTTGATGGGTACTGGGAAGTCTGAGATTCCTCCACTTGCCTCCTTGTGAAGTTGGCTGTGAGAATTTTGTCCCTTTATACGTTGTCGTAAGTCTGTTCTTTACCTAGAAGTGCACATAAACCTCTGTTCCTGAGTTACTCATGCAGGAAAAACTGCACGGGGTTACATGGTGCTGCTTCCCAAAATGTGTGTCTGAACCTTTCCACAGCCATCAGCCCTTCAGTCATGTCGGATTCCTCCTTTGCTTTTAATATTGGCAGTCAGACAAGTAGGGGTTTTGCTAACAGCATGATGGAGTTGTTAAAGCCTAAAAAAATGAATTTACATCCATTTATTATTTAGCTTCCTCTGTCCTACCAGTGATGCTAATAGAGGCAGTGGCTGTAACTGTGTCTGTGTTAGGATAGAAATAAAAAAAACCCTAGCTGATAGATTTTCATACATTTGAGGTAGAAGGTGTGAAACTTGGATATCCACTAAAAAAAAAGGCTTTTGTATATCAACACTAAAATTCAGTCTATTTGTGGTTTTTGTTGTAGAAGGAATTGGACTGTCTACATATACAAGTGCTTCCTACAAAATTATTCTGCTGAATAATGCTCCAGTTCATTTCCTATTCCCTACCCCCTGAAACTCTGCATGCATATCTGCTTAAAATCAGTAACAAGTGTAGCTAGTAATGAAATAATTCAAATTTAGTTTATTTTGTTTCTTGATGCACAAATAGGAAGTCATTTAAGTGTGACTGATTTTATTCATCCACAGTAGTTGCTCATCTGAAATGCTATTGAAATTCAATAATTGGAGCTCTGAAATACAGTATTTGACAGATGGAGTGGGTGGTTGTGCCATTTCCATGATAAATCTACTAACAAATATAACCATGAGGAAGTTTTGTTCATTCCTTGACTATGGGAACATATAGATGGAAAAAGTGACTAACATGACATATGTGTCTTGATTCTTCATTTTCCTTCTATAATGATTTGAATTCTTAAACTAATGCAAGAGAGAGGCTTCTTTTACTTGTCTGAAAAGGAGTTGCTAAAATATTCTTTCAGTAGCCTTCCTTTTCTTACATTTCCTTTGAAGCTTTTCCTACAGTGAATTACTTTTGTAATGTCTTAGAGCATCAGTTAGAAAGCATTTCTCATTTTAGATGAAAACAAGGTAGATCTTCTCTAAGATATATTTACTCTTAACTGAGAGTATTGGAGGCTGGAGAGATGGACAGTCCTGGTGCCCCAGGGCTTACTGTTGAAACTTAGAGATGGTAAAATGGTATAAATAAAAATTATACTGCATTATCCAGTTTGAATGTTTTTTTTTATTCTCTTTTAACAGAACTCACTGATGCTGGTACTAGAGGAACCCAAGATACAATTAAGGGTGTGAAAAGAAAAAAGATTGTGTCTGAAAACCATCTTAAAAAAATACCAAAATCGCCTTTGAGAAGCCCTGCTGAAGCCAAGGTTAAGCAAAATGTAGACCCTTCACCGCTTAAAGCTCTTCCGGATGCCTCTGAACATGCCACAGTACAGGATCACCTGCCTGTGCAAAATGGAAATCAATGTACCAAACAAAATGGGGGAGCACTTAGCAGTGAGATAAGTGTTGAAACAACCAAATCTGAGACATCAATGCAGACAAAGCTTTCACTGACTCATCAGTCCTTAGATTTGTGTAGACAGGCAGCGGGGGATACTCATGCAAACCAACTGAACTCAGCAGAGAGGAAGCCTCCCTCAAACTCCTCATCAAGTAATACAAAGACTGACAGTAATGAATGTATTAATTTTGTTGATTGCGGCACGTCGTCCCCATGCGCGCGTACTGCATTCGATGTCTTACTAAAAGCTATGGAGCCCGAACTGAACACCTTAGCACAAGAGTGCCCCCCTTATGGGATGCAAATAGAGAAACTGAGACCAAATAAAACTGTAAGCACCTCTTCTAGCCTCACGTCCAATACAATAAGTGTCCAAAATCAGTCTGCTTTGTCACAGCAAGAGTTTGCGGCTGGACCTCACTATTACCCGTGTACGTTGAACAATGTGCATGTAGCAACAACAGCCAAGACTGGACAAGCACAAGGCCAATCAGTTTCTCATTCACAAGACCTTATTACTAAAACCAGTCAGCAAAATCATCAGGTTGTTATGTGTCCAAGTTTAACTAGGTCGCTGGTGCAACAGCAGAGTCAAGAAAACCCCAAGCTCCAGCAGATCTACAGCATAGCAGTAACTTCGTCTGTCGTCACCTCATCTTCCACTGTAACTCAGGTTTTCTCTCAAAACCCATTAGTAGCTAGTTCATCTTCACCATTGTCAATTAACACATCAAGTTCAACACACTTGTCTATAGGTCCTGTGTATAATTCAGCCCAGATAGCATCAGTTGTAAACCATGGTGTAGAACAAATATGTAACCTCTTGAAAGACCAGAAGCCTAAAAAGCTAGGGAAGTACGTCTGTGAGTATTGCAATCGGGCCTGTGCCAAGCCCAGTGTTCTCCAAAAGCACATCCGATCCCATACTGGAGAACGACCATATCCTTGTGTGACGTGTGGGTTTTCATTTAAAACCAAAAGCAATCTCTACAAGCACAAAAAATCTCATGCACACGCTATCAAACTTGGACTTGTCCTACAACCAGATTCAGGTGGCCTCTTCTTATCTCATGACTCAGACAAAGCACTTAGCATTCATTCAGATGTGGAAGAAAGTGGTGAAAGTGAAGATGAAGGCACTGCAGATGAAAGACAAGATGATCAAGAACTGGAACCTACACAATTAGTGAAGGTCATTTCGAGTGCAGAAACACTGCAGAAAGGAAGCCCTATTCCATTAAGCAACCCAGACTGTATACCAGGTGACTCTTCATTACATGATGCAGAACCTCAAGTAAGGGCAGCTTTACCAAAAGTAGTAGTTCATCCTGTAAATGTTTCTCCATTGAGGGCTGATAGCCCAAAAGTGACAGAGCCAGCACCTGAGCTTGCTGCAGCACAGAGAAAAGGAGATTCTAAAGTCACAACTCTTCAGTCAAATTTAACACATACAGCCTCATTCAAGGAGAATGACATAAAGCAGCATCAGAAAGTAGAAGCAGGCCTGTTAGAGGAACAACCAGTATCTACAGGAGGACCAACACATGCTCAACTCCAGAGACAACAGGCAACTGATGGTTCTCAAGATCAGCAAGGAAAATGCCTTTTGAGTCCCAGAAGTTTAGGCAGTACTGATTCCGGTTATTTCTCTCGTTCTGAAAGTGCCGATCAAACAATGAGCCCTCCAGCTCCCTTTGTAAGGGGGTTGTTGACCTCTGAGAAAGATACAAATAAAAATCTGCCTTGTGTGCCACGAGCTAGTGGCATGGTAGCATCAGTGGTACAAACTGTTTGTGTTGAAAAAAATATGGTTCTCTCTGGCCAAATGCGACCTCCCTTGGCAACAAAAACTCTTGAGGAGCGTATCTCAAAGTTAATTTCTGATAATGAAGCTGTTGTGGATGACAAACAGTTAGATAGTGTGAAACCAAGAAGAACATCTCTTTCAAGAAGAGGAAGCATAGATTCACCAAAATCCTACATATTTAAGGATTCTTTCCAGTTTGATTTAAAGCCCATGGGAAGAAGAACTAGCTCAAGCTCTGATATACCAAAGTCTCCTTTCACACCCACTGAGAAATCCAAGCAAGTTTTTCTTCTTTCTGTACCATCCCTGGACTGTTTACCTATAACACGAAGTAATTCCATGCCTACCACCAGTTACTCAGCAGTTCCTCCTAATGTCATACCTCCCTCTCATCCCCTTCGAGGAAGCCAGTCATTTGATGATAAAATTGGTTCTTTATACGATGACGTTTTTGTGTCAGGACCTGCTACTCCACTGAACCAAGGCGGACATCCTCGGACCCTGGTTAGACAGGCAGCAATAGAAGATTCTTCTGCTGGTGAAAGCCAAGGTCTTGGACCAGTGCGGTCTGTAGAAGAAAGTTATCTGGGGTATAATATATCAAATGAATCCTTACTGCAAAGGAGCAAATCTCTGGCACAGGGATCAAATTTAGAAAAAACAAAGAAGTCCCCTCAGGTGCGAGGAACAATGTTTGAATGTGAAACCTGCAGGAACAGATATAGAAAACTGGAAAATTTTGAAAACCACAAGAAATTTTATTGTTCAGAGTTGCATGGACCTAAAACTAAAGCAGCAGTCCGAGAGCCTGAGCACAAAACTGCTCCAAACAGTACACAGCCTCAAATTCTACACTACAGAGTCACAACTTCAACTGGTGTCTGGGAGCAGACACCCCAGATAAGGAAAAGAAGGAAAATGAAAAGTGTTGGTGATGATGACGACCCACAGCAAAATGATACAAGCATACCATCAAAGAACACGGAAGGCCAAAGCAAACCAGCAAATTCTTCCAGTATGTCAAAACACAGTGCCACAACCGTGGTAGGATCACAACAACCAAGCAAACTTCTGCTTCAGAATTCCCAAATTCAGCTTGTGGCTCGTGGCACAGATCAGACTACTGAGCCAAAGATGACTCCACTCATTGAAAAGCAGACAAGTTCAGCTGTGCAAGAAAAGGTGGAGTTGAAAAGACAAGGGACTGGCATTTCAGTAATACAGCACACGAATTCACTGAGCAGAAATAGCTCATTTGAGAAATCAGAGTCCTTTGAAAGAGTATCGCCAGTTTCTTCTCAAGAGCCCAACAAGGACGCAAAGCACCGCTCTTTGAATACAGTTGTAATCCAAGAAGACAGACGCTCTCATCTGAGCAGTCCCCAGCGTCACCAACCCTTGTTGTCAGAACCACCTCGAGGGGAAGTTCAGGGAAGCCAGCTAGTTTCTAATGAGAGAAGTGCACCACTTCAGCCATCAAGACTCGTTCGCCAGCATAACATCCAGGTTCCTGAAATACTGGTCACAGAAGAACCAGACAGAGAGCAAGAACACCAATGCAGCGACCCAGAAAAGACAGAAAGGTTTAACTGGCCACAGCGCAGTGAAACCCTGTCAAAATTGCCAACAGAAAAGCTTCCACCGAAGAAGAAGAGAATTCGGTTGGCTGAAATGGAACATTCATCTGCTGAATCGAGCGTTGACTCCACACTTTCCAGAAGCCTAAGTCGGGAGAGTAGCTTGTCTCATGCTTCCAGTTTCTCAACTTCACTTGATAAAGATGAAACTTTAAAGGCTGAGAACCCTTCCAAAGCAGAGCCTGTTAGTAAGTCGTCAGAATTCCTCATGATTCCTGCTGGCTCACACGCACTGGCAGTGCCCGGACCTCATTACCGGGAAATGAGACGTGCTGCCTCAGAGCAAATCAGCTGCACACAGCCCTCAATGGAGGTTGTGGACTACAGGAGTAAGTCTTTCGACTGTGGAAGCATGTCTCCATCAAAAGCTATCCCACTCATAGAGGTAGCCACTCCAAAAGTGTCATCTGCAAATGGAGCTGCTGGACACGTGCCTCTGCTAGAAAGGAGGAGGGGGCCATTTGTAAGACAAATATCTTTAAATATTGCTCCAGAAAATCAACAGCCTCAAGTGAAATCGACTTCTTCATTGCAGGCAGCTCATGCCGCAGATGGGCCCACAGTGCCACAGCACAGGTTGCAGACCTCTGGCAAATCCTCGGTGGAGTTTCCTTCAAGTACTCAGCATTCACAGACTAACTCCAGGCCTCATTCAGCGATTCAGAATTGTAATCCTGTTAGCCTGTCATCGGCTCAGCAGCCTCTAGATCACATGTTGAATAATCAAGGCCAGTTATCCTTGACTCATCAGCCTTCCCAGCCATCTACTAAAACATCAGCCCAAGGGGAGCAAGCAAGCACAAACTCGCTTTCTTGTCATTCTGATGAAAAAAAGGACTGTTTTGCTCCAAAGTATCAACTTCAAGTTAAAACCTTACATATAGGTCAGCCATATTCTTCTAAATTGCTCAAAAATACTTTATCAACTCAGACTGGTTCGAGTCAAGTTGGGGTGGACCAGAATGCATCCTCCTTTGAAGTGCAGACAAAACTCTCTGACATGTCTAATCCATACTCTGTGCCTCCTCTAAAGCAAATTGTTCCCAATAACTGCAGCAGTCAGATACATCAGATTCCTCCTTTTGTGGTTCCTGTCCGTATTCAGAGCAGTGTGCCATCCTATGGCTTTGCAACTGTTACACCCCTGCCTCACATTTTAGTGACCCAGGATCAGGGAAATCAGTCCATCTGCAAAACGAATGCTGTGACAGTGCCAATGCTTGAAGGCAAAACTCAGCTGCCAAAATCTCACAAAGATCATCAGAGGACTTTGCCAAATTCATTTGAATTTGAGAATTCACCACCGGAAAGTGGAACCAGAAATTCACCTTTATCAAGCTCTTTGAATATCAATCAGAAAGAGCCAGTTAGCGGGCTCTTCCCTCAACCAGAAGTTACAGCTTCAAGTAAACGAATGCTTTCCCCAGCAAATAGTTTAGATATTGCCATGGAAAAACAGCAAAAACGTGTTAAGGATGAGAGTGGAGCTGCTTGTATGACAGATGCTAGACCATTGCATTCACTGAACGTTAGATCTAATGAGCCTACTACTAAGCAAAAGAAACCAGTTTTGGTAAGACAGGTTTGCACCACAGAGCCTCTTGAAAATCACCTCTTGGATCCTGATGTTGTTACACAGCATGAAAAAAGCAGCAAGGCCAGTACTTCAGACCTGCCTGACCATCAATCATCTGACACTGGGGTTTCAGAAACCCCAAAGAAGTCACCAGAATCCGAAGACCTTAAGTCTTTTACATCACCGGTGTTTGTAGTTAGGAAACCTTCTGAATTGTCTCCAGTGAATAGCCAGAGTTCTCTTCTCAAGGCTGTAAGTAGCAGCCAAGAAAGAAGGTCTCCACCAAGTAACAGTAATGAGAGCACCCATGTCAGCAGCCCGGGCCAAGCAAAGCCTGTAGCAACACTGGCTGTGATGAATGCAGGAGAAATGCAGAGGCTGTCGTTTCCAAGCCTCAAGACCACAACAAATTTTACCTGGTGTTACCTCATGAAGAGAAGACCATTGCATCTGCTGCAAAATGATCAAAAAATCTCTGCCTATTCTACATGGACCATTAGCCCCAATAACCCAAATCCGCTTGGTCTGTCGACAAAGGTAGCTCTCTCCCTCCTCAATTCCAAACAAAAAGTTGAAAAACCACTGTACACTCTAGCAAGAACTACGCACCCCAGATCTGATGTATTGGTCTATTCAAGCAAATGGAAGAGCAGCTTGACCAAGGTACTTAAGCTATGTTTGATATGTACTGATCACTTACAGAGGATTTGCTTTGGAAATCATGCTTCTTCATATCTTAGGGAATGTAATATGCCTGACACATACCATATATGTGCTTATTTATTCTGGCTGGATCAAACTGCTAAAAAGATCTAAAGTAATTCAGTTAAGAAACCTCTTCATAAGGATTTGTAATTTTTTATGGAAATTAGTTCCTGGGTTTAAATCTGTGTATTCAGTGTTTATTGTGGCAGGAATGTGGCTATTTTTTTGTCTTGCAAAGGGTAGAACAAAATAAGTCTGATACAAGTATTATTTTAAATAACATTCCTAACTTAAATTAATTCAAGATTATAATTGCATATTTTGCATTAAATGTCAGCTGAAGAAATAACAATAAGGGAATTTTCTACTTCAAAAGAGTGCTCAGCTTGAACAGGTGTCCATAGATACACCATGAAAACAGTTTTCACCATCACTGATCATCTACTTCTGAGAGGAACAGTATACCATTTCCCTTTCTCTCACCTAGGTTAATCAGTGGTGTGAAATAATGACAAAAATAGCAAGGTTGGAACAAAGTTGCCACTGCCATAAAACCACTGACAGCTTCTTGGATTGATATGGCTCCAAAGTTAACATTAAATCTTGTGCCGAGAAATGTAATCCAGGCAAAGGTTGTGACCCACATAAAAACCTGCATCATTCCAGAGTCCAAAGTGGCAGAGTAAAATAGTCTCTTGTTATTTCCTTAGCTGTTTTGGGGCTGCACAGATGTGATCAAGATTTTACTTGCTGGACAGTTTTGTTATGGACAGGACCAAAGCTGTTTGGTTTAGACTGGATTTGGTGTTCTCTAGTGATTGAACCACCGCTGTGCATGGGTGAAGGTGGCTCTTAGACCTGCACTATGGCAGCAGGTGTCTCTGTGTCTGTGTAATGGACCCAGCAGAGGATTTTATTGTCCCATCTACTGAAGTTATAAAGCTCTCTGAAGTGTGCAGCATGGTTTCATGCTTTTCCTTGCTCTGCACTGCATATACTGTGTCTTTGGTGCCAAACACATTGGGGCTGGCAAAAACGGGGCATCAGTGAAGCCATAGACCTTGCTTTCTCCATGATCCTTCAGGGCATGGAAGTGGTTCAGCAAGGAGGTGAAAGTGACTGTAACTTGTCCTACAGCTATTAGCAAAATGCCTCAGACATTGGGACTCAAGGTTCCACAGGCCAGTAGTCACTCTAGAGGAGGCATTCCACAGCCTTGGGAAAAGACTGTGGGTGTTGTGTGGGTGTTGAGGGACAGAAACTGCTGCTGTCAGAAGTCACCCTGGAATGTTTGTGTGTCTGCTAAATGTTTTGCTAAGATACAGCACTGCCGGTGGGGAGAAAAGCAATAGGAAGAGAAACTGTGTGATAGGAACAAATAGTTTCAGAATTACAGGGCAAGTTGTGAAGATATGCTGAAACCTTTAAGGCCAAAAGGGCAATGGAGTTAAACCTGGTCCTCCTGAAATCAGTGGGACATTTGCTAACTGTATATTGGAATTCAAAACCTCATCCATAATGTTTCCTGCAGAAAATGCATACAGGCTGCTGATTTTGTTTTAGTACTGTAGTTGAATTGTACTGTTGTAGTATGCTGCCTTGATTTAAACTCTTAGTACCTTTTTTTTCTTTCAGTCTGCTTCCTCATATATTTCGTGAGATGTTGCACTTAAATAGTGCTAAATTAAAAAAAAAAGGAAACAAATGTTTAACATTTTTCATTGTATGTAGTTGAGCGACTCTTCCTAGAGCAAGTCTCACATCCTTGTGTCATTGAGTCATGTTTGTTGTATTTTTGAAGAACAGTCTATCAGAAGAAATTCTGTGATAGAAAAGCAATTGTATGCCTCCTGAAAAACAGATTTTCTGTACAAACAACTTCTGTTTAGAATACAAATAATGGATAATAATATTTTGAAAAAATATTTTGACAGCACTGTTTTAAAACACTCCAGGAGTGAGTGCTTAAATGCTGTAATAGGCAGCTGTCAGGCACATTTACAGTGCTTCTGCCACAAAAGAAACACAGTTACTAATCTTTCTTCAGTCTTTCTTGATGACGTTTTGAATGAAGCACATGAGCATGATGGAAATGAAGAGTTTTTAAGCTCTGCTTGGGCTGATTTACAGGCTTTGCTCAGAGACATTACTAAGGAAAAGAGTGCTGCTAATCGCACCAATTAAAGTTTAATTTGCACCTGAGATTGTATGAGCAAGGTGTACCATGTCAGAAGTTAAAAATTTCAAAGACCTGATAGGTTTTTCTGTGTAATGCTTCCAGAGTTTGCCTGCTTCCCCTTCTAATGATTCAGGCAGCAGGATTTCAGCTGTTTTCCAGAATGATGCTGCTGCTGCTGTTACAATATACCTCTGTGTTACCAGTCTCCAGTTAGACCTGGTAATGGAATAGCTGATGCCAACTTGGAAACTTCCTCACAGAAGCCATGTTTAAAAATAGTAAAAACTGAAATTCCTCAGTTCAGGCCCAGTAATTCCACTGAGTTTTTGGTTTGGGTTTTTTTTTTGGTTTTTTTTTTTTGAGTCTGAAGATGGAAAACGTTGGAGTCATTAAAAAAAAAAAAAAAGAAAAACAAACACAAAACAAGAAAATGCAGCACGAACAAAGCCAACAAAGAAAATAGCAAATAATTGTAAAAAATAATGTGGTTGATTTTCTGCTTAGAACCTTGGCAGGGTCCTGAGTCCCTTGGGGAACCATGGTTTGGATGCAGGTGTTGGGGGTAGAGTTTGCACAATTGGTTTATGTGTTTTAACCCTGATCTGACAGAGAGCTTTTAAGTGCTACCGCAATCCAATTTACAAATAATAATAAAAATGCAGTACTGTTATGTCTCACCTCCTCTCTCACAGCCGTAGCCCTTTCCAGACCCATTTGGCGTATTCTGCTCATGGGGCTATAACTGCTGATCTTCTCACCGAGATAAAGCAGCTTGCTGAACTGTTCTGGGTTTTCCCCCAGAACTAAACCATGTTTACAGACACCTCGTGCTGCTGCATAACCGCTACTAATCACTGTCACAAAAAAAGGCAGTTCTTTCAACAATAGGTACCATGGGAAAGGAAGATACACGTGAACAAAATGCAAACAAAAAGGAACCCTGGGACTTTGTTTGCTCTTCACAATTCACTGCTCAGAGGCAATAGGTGAAGTTGCCACGTTCCAGTGACTCAGAAAACAAACCACAAAATGTTATTGTGAAAGAAGCTCCTGGAATGAGTGCAGCATGTTAAAATGTAACAGGAGGTTTCACCTGCATGGAAAAGCATTTTATCTCCCTCATCTTCTTATTTTATTGTCCCATTTATTACTACTTTTCACCAGTTTTCCTCACTTGAATTCAATGGTGTTACATCAGGAGTTCTTTCTCAAGCCTCCATGCTGATCTTGGCTCTTCTCACTAAAGTGAATCAGTAGTGTGTGCAATATTCCAGGATGATGATTTTTGAGCAAGGATAGGCTGAAAAATGGAAAGTTTCTCCTAACTGTGGAAAGCTTTCCTTTCTTGTATGATATGCCTCAACAGTCCAGCTTACCACTGGAAAGTAGTTAAATGCAGAAGATTTTATGTGTAAACTAGTAAAAGTTTAAAGATATTAAAAAAATTTTCCCCATGTGGCTGTGTGCCAGTGGGAAAAATGTTTAATGAATATTCTAATCTGAAATTTATAACTTTGATGATTCAAGCTGTAGCATGGTTTTTTTTTTTTCCAAAGGATGTTGTAAAGTACCAGAAGTATCTGTTGAACTGTGGTTTCTGGGCAGCCCTGAGAGCAATTTTTTTTTTTTTAGTTTTATACCAGTAATTGAGGACAGTGGAGTAAATTGGAACAAAATGAGTAGAGTAGAAATGAATCATGGTCCTTGTCTCTATGGGAGTAGGGAGACAAGCTTCTCTGTTGGAAACAGAAGGCAGAAGTAATCATAGAGAGGAGCTTTTTACAGCACTGCTGTTTTTCTGCCCTTTCCACCAGTTCATGTGGGGCTTGGGGGAATTTCAGGTGAGCTGCATTAAAGGATTTCCACACAAGAAACCTGTGCTCCTTGGAGACTGGTTGCTTTATAAATGTACAGACGGCAAAGTCATTCTCATCATCAATTTGAAATTTTTCAGAAAAAGCTAAACAGACTGTTTTTTCCATTGTCACTGAGCATTTCTGTAGATTTCTGGGACAGAAACTAGGTGTTTCTGTTACTCTGTTATCAGCATTTTGCATGTTCATGACACTGAAACAATTTCCTAAAGCAGCAAATAACCACTAAACTAAAGTACAGCAGGGGAGGTAAATAATTTTAACACGTAAGTTGAGCTGTCATATCTGTATACAGACACGTGTTTAAAAGAAAAGAATGGGTAGTGGGAGCATCAGAGGTATTTGGTTTCATGGTAGTTTCTGCATTCTGAGTGCTTTTGTGAATATACAACTTATTGTAACAGTTTCATCATAGCTTGGATGACAACGTGGGTCTAGGATTTCTGTAATCTTTCTTTTTCCTTTGTCTTTTCACTACTTAAAATTAAATCTGGAAAAAAATAATTGGTTTATAGTATTGAAAGATCAGGCACTTAAAGACTGCATTATTTCAGCTGCTGGCAATATTTATGTGGTTGGTTTATTGTGTGTATTCTGTATTTTCTACGACTCTCTTCCTCTTAAGCTACAAATGTCACCTTGTTACTCTTTGTTTGCAGTGAAAACAAAAGCAGTTCATGTGCCAGGTAGTGCATAGGAACTGCAGAACGGCTGAGCTGCGATTATTGGAGCAGGCTTCACTTCTTGTATTTCTCATCCAGAGCATCATCTCCTTTCACCTTGTATGAGTGCTGTTAAAACATGCAGGGTGAAATTTCTTTCTTCCTACGCGCAGGCAGAGTTGTCATGTGTGCTTTGGTAGAAGTGCTCAGACGTTTGAAAATGCAGCCTGAATCAATCCCCAGAGGGCTGTATGAGGGTGTACGGATTGGGGTAGTGCTTGTGCTTGTGCATGTGCTTGTGCTTGTGCAGCTTCCTGGGGCCTTCAATTGAATAGGAAGATGCTTTTCCTCTGATCTGTGTTAATTCCTTATCATGTGGGAATTAGAAGTGAAGGCAGTGTCTTTGGCAGCATGAAGGACAATGGGCAAGGACCAGGTGCCAGAATGATGTCATCCTTCAATGTATGTAGCACCCAGCATAACTGATCAGTCATTTTAAGCCAGCCGGTGAAGTCATTCCTCTTGCCAAGAATCCACAAGCTTACAGCGTTAAATTTAATAATGAGTGAAAAACATAAGGCCAGACTTTTTTTTTCTCTCATCATTTTATTCACTTATCAATATGAGCAAATGAGGTAAATGTGCCAGCTATGTGGGTAGAATAGTTTATAAATATAGCAGTAATAATTGCTGGCTAATTGGATCATTCCTTCATTGTTGCCCATTTTATAAATATTCTAGAGTTGGAAGGAGTAGATTTTAATTGGCAAATGTTAGGGGAACTCATTCTCCTCAAAACAAACAAAAAGAAGTTCCTTGACTAATAATCAGGGAAAATGAAGAAATAAAATCTTGTTCTGCTAGACAACTGTATGCTTTTTCTTATAATTTGGTCTGGCAGTAGGAATTTAAGTGTGGAGTCTTGCTTTCGAAGGGTTCTGGAACCCCTGTTAATAACCTTGCCAAATCAGGAATAGTCAGTGTCCAGAGCAAAAGAGCTGTAGTTCTTGAAAAATATTAGCACTGAGAAATGTTACCTGTTAATAACCTCCCTAGATTAACACCCCTTCTTGCCACCCTTCTTCTCTCTGCTGCGCCGTGGTAGGCAGCTCCTGCTGGCCATGAGGCATTGCTGTGTCCTGGGCCAGCAGACAGGTCGGTCCAGTTGCAGCTGCTCAGGAATCACTTCAGTTTGATTGTACACATCTTTCTCTGAAGGCTATTTGTGAGCTAAAAAGCGTTACCTTCATCTTCCCAGAATAAGGAAAAGGAATGTCCTAATTCAGTCTCAAAGCATTCCTGGTTTCCTACAGGGCCATAATCTCTGCGTAGATTTAGCAGTCCACAAACAGGCAATGTGTAGTAAAGAAAAAGTTTAGCAAAAGATATTTTTTGTTTCATGTATCTTAACAGTTTTAAAAACAATTATTAGAATTGTGCCTTTTATGATGTTTTTATTCACCATAATTTGAATGTTTGAATAGCAGATGAAAGACACTAATTTTAATGATAAGCATATCTCCTTTTCTTTCAGAGAGCATTAAATAGGAAAAAATTGACTCCAACTGAATTCAGCAATAAGGAAAACTCTGAATCAAGCACTGAGCATGATAAAGAAAACTCCTTTATCAAAACTGTACCAAGAAGAGTTAAAATATTTGATGGAGGGTAAGTATTGTACTTTGTATACTAGATATCATTGGGAAGATATTTTTTCCTTGATTCTAGACTTTGCAGAGATGTTGCTTCCTGATTGATTTATTTTAAACAACAGTTCCCATATTGTGGTTTATGGATGTTGGTTTATATTTCCAAGAAAAATGGAAAGTCATCAGTAGCATGGAGCCATGAGAGTTATGAGAAGGGGTAATAAAACAAAGAACAGTAGGCAGTGCGATTCATTCTTTTTCCCAGGGAATGAGAATTAATCAGCGCTAAAGGAAACTAGATACAGCCAGAGATGTAAATTCTGTTCCTATGTTTCTCTTACATGATAAATAATACCTATTCTGCAGCAAAGTTGTTTGACTGTAGCTGGAGAGGAAATAGTCCAGGGGCTAAGCAGCAGCCTGTGGTGCCATCTCTGTCTGGCAGCTTGCTGTGGCATACACAGGCTGGTGAGCTCTGACTTGAAAAATGCCACGGAAATATTTACTGAGAGCCCTCCTCCCTGCACCATAATACTTTAAATATGTTGCTTGATATAAATAACAGTTGCTGTAGCCACAGTGTTGCACTATGTACAACATAAAACAGATTTTTAAATAGAAAAGTGCCAGTGACACCTGTAAAATTTTGTTGCACAAATAGTGCATATTTGATTAGTCTTGATGGTCAGCTGTATGATGGTCAGGCTTTAGTTACATGTTCCCAGTTTGAATCTAGTCTAGACCAGCAGTTAAGTCATTACCAGCTGCCCAGGTAAAATATTGCTGTGCCTCTGCTCAGATCCAGACATTGCAAGGAGCAGGTCACCAAAGCTAAACGCAACATTTGGCATCCTTGAGTGGAAATACGAAGGGCGTAATTGAATCCGAATGACTTTTTCCATCTGGAGACAGTCCCCATAGGCTGAGTCCAGAGGACATTGATAGGGAATTTTAAAGACTTTCCCATCATTGTAACTAATGTTATTCCTCTGCTGCACAAGGCAGAGCCTCAAAGATGCTCTTTTAAAGCTCCCTCATGGTGCTCAAACCTGCTTCCAAGAGCTGACACCTTTAAAAGATATGTTCCTGTGTTGCTGAGAGGAAATTTGAAATCTTTAAATGCTTAGTCTCAACAGTGCCTTTATTAAAAAAGATTAGCTGCTATTCCTAAACAAGTCTGTGACTAGCTAGTGATAAATTTAGATATTAATTTAACAAATACATGCAGGAGTGAGCAGAAAAGAGTGTGATTAGTTTTCCCAGTTATTGATTTTCATCTAATGTGTTACTTTAAAAATTCTGGGAGATAAGGATTTCTAGCTGGACTCATTTTCCCACTACAGCTGATTTCCTTACTCTCATGGTACTGTTACTAGGTACAAGTCAAACGAAGACTATGTGTATGTGAGAGGGAGAGGGAGAGGGAAGTATATTTGTGAGGAATGTGGAATACGTTGCAAGAAGCCCAGCATGCTGAAGAAGCACATTCGCACACACACCGATGTCCGTCCTTACCACTGCAATTACTGCAACTTTTCCTTCAAAACTAAAGGTAAGGCTACTTTACTGGGTATGTTTTTGCCTCTTTTGCTTTCTACTTTAAAGTAGAATTATTTTCTTCTCACAGTTGGATGTTCATGAGCTAAAGAGGTTCCCTCTCTGCGGAGTTTTATTGTCTAATGCTTCAAATATTTGTAATTTCATGTTTCCTGCTTTTTCTTTGTCTTTTGTATATTTATTCACATCTTCATATGAATGAACTACTTGGCATGCCACAGTGGGTGAGAAATTGGAGTGGAAGAGGGAAATCATGGGAGTATGAGGAAAGTTACATGAAGAGAAGTGACATGGTTAGCTGCTCATCCTAGATAGAGATGGGACACAATTTTAAGTCCCTTACAGTGTCTTTTGGAGGTAGGAGATGGACGTATATTGTACCTGGCACTCAACCAATTGCTCTAGGAAAGAAATTGGCCTCTAATAAATTACTATATTGAAATTCTTTTTTTTTTTTACCCTTGGACGTAAAAAACAAATGTTCACTTTCCACTTGACCTTTTGAGACCCAGAGCTGGACATGTACTTTTTAAAGCCTGTTTATATCTTTATACACTTACATGCATCCCAGTTTATACAGGCAGTATAAACTACAGTAGTAGATCCAGGACTCAAGTGAAACAGACAGGAGAAGTTCACAGCCAAAATAATTTCAGAAAAAAAAAATTTCTAAGCAGTAAAATTTTTCTCGGCTTTGAACATCATTTAGCAACAATCCTCCCCCCTGCAGCTGTAACCTCAGGAACATTTGTGTTTTTAGTGGGTTTGAGACTACTCAGCATTTGGGTGGAAAACTTCCAAGAAATAACCCAGTGCTGCACAAAGTGGGATGAATAGGCTTCAGATGTGTCAAAACTCATCACTGTGTCCTGACAGGCTGGGTCATCATACTGCCTTTACCATGAAATGCTGGAGTGCAAACCCAGTAAATTCTCATTATGGTTTTTGCAGAGGAGAGGTGCTGGCCAAGTTCAAGTAATTAAGTTCTGTCCGTGTTAAGTTCTCCCTGGTTTCAGTTGTAGCAGATCCTCTTCTGCATTTGCTGTGCCTGGCTCTTGCCATTACTGCTGGCAGGTCACACACAGTTGGGTGTTTGATGTTTGGTAAGCCACTCTTCATGACAGGACAGTGTAGCCAGCAGCTCTATAAAGTGTGCAAAAACTGGAAAATTTGCTATTTGTGAGTCAATATAACTGGAAAATTTGCTATTTGTGAGTCAATATGTTTACAACAATTATTTCCACAATTAATTAGGAGTTACCACCTTCATTTCAAAATGGAAATAAAGTACTCCATATTAGAAGAGTCAACATTACACTTTAATTTTTCCTACTTAAATACCTCAAAGAAACATTTTTGTGAAGTTTAAGGTGGGCAGTTACATCTAGCAACAGGCATTTAATAAATACAATCATTTAGAGATCTGAGCCACTCTTAGCCATTTCTTGATATTTACCATATTTTCTTTTTAAAGAAGAAGGGGAGAGCAGCCTGTGAGGCCTCTCAGCTACACATTCACTTTTGAGATTCAGATCAAGTATGTTCATGCTCTGATTTTGAATAAAATTAACGTTTGCTTAAGTTGGCATTGAAAATGTTTACACTAAAAATAGAATTCATCAAATACTGAAAGCTGCAAGATGCGAACTTCAGTTTCACGTGATAGCCTCCTGTCAACATGACTTTGAAGACTGAATCACCCCTTTTTATACTTTGCCACAAACAAAGGAGGGATCTCTTACACCAGTACAAAAAACATCATAATTTAGAAATTCCATCCTCTCCTACTTTATGTCAATAAAAACTTCCTGAAATGTAGACAGCAAGCTGGTAGCATTCAGGATGGTGAATCTGCTGCAGCCCTTGACAGCTTGCATTGAGGAGCAAGGTTCTAGCAAGTGTGAAATCAAATTATACGGTTGTTATAAATGTACCTGAAGAAGAGATGAACACAGTGAGCATATATTTGTAGACATTTGTGTACTCACAGAGCAGGTAATTTTCTTTTTTTTCTTAAGGAAATTTAACAAAGCATATGAAGTCAAAGGCACATAGCAAGAAATGCATGGATTTGGGAGTCTCAGTAGGCTTAATAGATGACCAGGATGGAGAAGAAGAATTTGGTAAGAAATTAAAGTCTTTTTTCTTTACTGAATTATTGTGTCTATTTTGTCATCTCAGCTTCTTACTCTTTCTTTTCCAAAGCTTTTTAATTCTTGTACAGGGAAAAGATACAGAGATAAAAATCTTAAAAGCTAGTCCAAGGGAGCCAGAAACACTGGAAAAACTTCCACCGAAAGAAATGACAAGCATATGCTAAGGATAAATTGCTGCTGAATTTTTCACAAAGTGTTATGCAGTTTAACTTTATCACTTTCACAGATAAATATGACAAGATTGAAAATACCAGAAAAACAGCTGTTTGCCTAGAAAAAAATGCAGTCAAGTGTAGTGCTTCTTTGAAAATAGCTGTGCATGAAATGGTCCAAGTTTTGGGATGCATATTTCATAGAAATTAAATCACTAACGTGCCACACAAATTACAAATATGTTGCTGCGTGCTTTGCAAGGAGGTTAATCATCTTCCAGCATAGAATTCTGTCCTCCTTCACAAATAATTGGGATAAATCTGCAGATAGAGAACATACTGAAATTAAAAACATTATTCATCTTGACCTGTTCTACTTCTTCATTAGTGATGAGAGTGTTTTCAGAATGAATGTATTTGCTAAAAGCTGGAATTCTGCACTTCCCACATCCCAAGAAGGTTCTGCTGAAGAGGAGATGAGATCAAGGACAGTCAAAGAGAGCCAAACCAGGTTCATGAGTGACTTGCTTGGCATGGTAAGAAAGGTGTGCCTGCACCAGACCCAGTGAGGTGGAGAACAGGATTGTGCGTTAGGACTATCTGGGATCTCAGCGTGTCTCAGTGCAGTGATGGCATTTTTCCTGTCCTCACGTTCCTCTGTGGGGAGATGAGTCCTGTTGCCTTGCCTTGGCGTATTTTTCTCTCTCCAGTGGAATAGTTTATTAGATTGTGGATGAGACTTGGAGAAAATAAAGCAGTAGGGGTCTTTATTTAAACTAAGGGGAAAGAAAGATGAATGCACTTGCTCCCATATGACAACCACTGGCAGAATAAGCGAATCATCTTGAATCTAATTCTAAATAATGCTGGGAATATGACTCAGCTGCTGTGATTCAGTAGTGCACTAGGTAGAAAGAAACCTGCATTTTTCCCTTTTTTGGCCTTCAATATCCTCCTTCTTCGTAAGCAAAAAATATGTCTCCCTCCACAATTTGAGATATCAGATAAATAACACAGAAGATAATCAGCAAGGACAAATTACCATCTTTTTCTTACAGAGGAACAATTTTTATTAATATTTTCAGTCATCACATGACAGAAGAATTGTCACTTTTTAATGCAATGTTCTATATAGCATTTGACATTTTTGTTAGTTTCATAAACTACAGGTGAACTGATATTTCCATTTACTAGGGTCTGAAGACATTTTACTGACTGATAAATTGATATGCCCAATTGCATGCATTAGAAGTTGCATTTGCGGTTATAATGCAATGGGAAATATTTCAAATGCTATCTGAATTTTCAGTTACATGGGGTTGAAGGAAGTCAAACATTGGTTGAAAGAATGCTTTCCTTTGACTTCAAGACTATTCAATGAAGAAAGAAAGAGACTTTCACTTTTTATATATCATGTACAGGCATGTTTGACCATAGTACAAATATATTATATATTCACTGAAATATGTTTTTTGCTCAGCAGAGTAACTACTTAAGAAATTAAATACTTGATTTTGAAAAAAAAAAAAAGCACAGGCATTCTACAGGATTTGCTACATAATCCTTGAAATTCTTCATGGAATTTAATTTTATGGCTACAATGCCTATTTTTTTTTTCCCCAAAATAAAGGACATAGCACTTTTTTTCTTTAACTGGAACCTCAAACCAAAAAACAACTTGGTGATAAAACCCTGCCTTTTCCAAAGGATCTGGCTCAGGTACCCATAGCAAAATCAGCAGTGCAGAACAAGGTTTAGCACAAGAGACCTATCCAAGAATCAGGGTAATTAAACCCCTGATAAAGGTACATTTGTTGCAGCCAAACCAGTCTGGCCTTTCCAGTTGCTGCAGAGCTCAGGGAATTTACAGTTATCCACAGAAATTCAGCAAACAACCCTACACTTAAAAAATGTGATTTAATCCATCTGCTCACCTGGCCAGCCATGAAGCTTTTTCTCGTAATAATTCAGAATCTTTCTTGTCAGCCTATTTTTAAGGCAGAATCAGGAGGGGGAAAAAAAGTGTGATGTATTTGCATACGTATTTTTTTAAGTGTGTTGCCCTCTCTGAAATCCTGAACATGCTAATTTTAGGCAGCGTTTGAATCAGCTTCAAGCACCTCTTTGGCTGCCCTTTCCCCAGGGCAGAGCAGCAGAGCTCACACTGAGGCCAGCACCCCTGGTGCCAGGTCTGGGCTCCAGGGACAGCCCTGGCAGCCACACGTCACCCACAAAGGACAGTGTATGGGCCGTGGGAATTGAGCTGCATTTGTGGTGTTAACATCCTTGGCCCTTCCACCCCTCCTCCCTCTGGCATGCATTGTTGGCACAGCTGTGCCACATATCCTTCAGATGTTTTAAAAACCAGCATCTTCAAATGCTTAAATTCTTGGGGTTTGGTTGTTAAAAATGTTCTGTCTCTTAGAGAGTGGTCTGTCTACTCCCATCGCTTTCCTCAGCTGGAACGCAACGTGAGAAGCAGTAGAGGAAGGTGCAGAAAATCTGATAAGAAGTAATTATGACCTCAGAAAAAAAAACATCTTCCTGAAGACTCTGTGAAATTGGCCTGTTTCCTGACCTGTAGAATGTCTGTCTGTCTATCTGTCTGTCTCCACCTAATTCATTATCTGAACATTTGGAATACTGATTATTCTTATGGTAATAGAGATGTCTGCAGCTTTACTTAATGTACCTAAGCTGTATGTCTTCCACTAGATTTCTACTTTGAACTAGAGAATTTACCCAGAAATTTAAGAAAACCACCAATCTTTTATTTCTTAAGGAATTTGCTGGTTCCAGTCTTCTGTAGTTTTTTTTTAAAGGCTGGGTAAACACAGTTGTTTGAATATACAATTTTTTAGATTCATATGAGAAGCCAGCTGTGACCAACAGCAGTACAGATCGAATGGATGCAAACTGAACCAGGAGTGCAAACTTGTGCACAACACTGAGCACAGGCAGACACACACACAGAGTCTGTTTTTTCAGTAATCTGAGAAGCTGAAATTTTGTTGTGCTGTAGTGTCTCGGGAAAAAAGAAAGATGCTCTCTAGCTGTCTGAGACTGTATGTGATCAGAGCTTTTAACATAGCATTCTTTGTATTTGGACTTGTCATCATTTGGGTATTAGTAAATACTTTCTGGACTGGGTTTTTGTATTCAAAACTATTCCCTCATCCATTTATCTTTCATCTTCTGCTCTGTGGAATGTTCTTGTCACCAAAATACAGGGTTACAATGTGAGGAATGTTAATATCTGAATTAAATTGTCAGAGGAGGTGAACTGTTTAGTGTGACAGACTGCAACTGGGGATATCCTTTTTGGCCCTGCTTACACAACATTTTGCTATCCAGTCTTAAAATTTGTGATCAAATTAAAACAGTTAAAAACATTAAACTTGTAATAAGCTCATGTATAAATGGTATGGTATGTCTCAGTAAACTTGCACAAGAGAATTCCTTAATCATGAAATCAGTAGATGGGAAGAACATATAAGGGATTTTTTGTGCAGAAATTCTATCCCCAAATTTTCACTTTAACAGTAAAAAGACGTAATTGTAAGTTTCAGAAACGTTTTTATAGATATCTATACACACACATATTAAAAAAATACTTTTGTTTTCTGCAGTATTATTACCACAGTTCTAATCAGTTTTAATTAGCTATATGTTACTTACAGTAGATTTTAAGTGAATTTCAATGGCTCTTCATTAGCTTAATCATGACTCAGTCTGTGTTTTCACTGAATCTGCATTTAAGAAGTGAAAATAAATAAAAATCCTTGAAATAATATCCTCCTTTTCCAAAGAAAATGGAAGGCTGGTTTTGTGTAGTTTACAATATTTTTTTTTTGTTAATATCAGTGTCATCTTCAACTAGATGTAATTAGGCACACTGAAGCCCTACACCCACAGCCTGACAGGAGACTACCTCGTGCTAGGTTTGAGTTACAATATATGAGTTACTTAAGAAGGTTTAGGTGTAAATAATCTCTTTAAGCCCAAGTTGCTCTTGCTTTTTTAATGAAAATTTCATCTTTTAATGAAGTTTCACTTCATTACTTTCTGTGGTCTTAGGAATGAAAGTCAAAAGCCCAACGATTTTCATGTCATTTCTGAGGAGCCCTGGTGATCACCAGTCTGAATTTAACCCAGTAGATGTCACTGTGAGTCCTGTTAGAGGGTGATGAGAAGTGGACAGTAGCTGAAGCAAGAATGAAATCAGATAATTGAAGCCTATGAACAGTCTTAGAGTGACAGGAGGGGAGCAGGGTTGGATATAGATGCTGGCATTGTTTAACCATATCTTGTTTAACCCTCTTTTAAATTGTGTGAATGGTTGTGGAATGATCTATTGCAAGTCTAATTCAACATGTGAAAGGCAAGTCTAAGTTGTAATTGTTTAGAGGAATGGAGTGCATTGATGACATACAGACCTCACTTTCGATTTATGATCATAAAATGATATGCTGAAAAGTACTTATGCCTTTTTTGCCATAGTCTACATTTTTTCTTGAGTTTGATGTAGAATATGTAGAATATAGAATAAATTTTTATTTTTAAATGCTTTTATGTAAATGCCAATCCATAACTGAAGGTACTTCCAGAACTTGAGACAATAAACACTGCTGTGTATTACTCAGGTGCTGAAAGCCAATAAATGTAGTAAATTTAGATTTAGATGCTAGTAGATACTAGATATAGATACTTAGTAAACTGTGTTTAATCTGAATAAGTAGAGGTAATGGCAGTCACATGGTGATCTATGTAACTGCTCATTTCTTTAGGAATCTGTAAAACTGAGCAGACTTGTAT